AATCTTTACTTACATTATTGATAGGTCCTAGGAAGCAGAGATTTAGGCGAAGGACATATATGAGGAAATCAACTTCACCACAGGTTAATTGATATAAACAAAAGTGCAGTTGTTATGACATATTTCTGGTCACAAAAACATCAGCAAACTTCTAAAGAACCAAAGCATTTGTAATATTAAACAATAATTTTTATTCATTCATTCATTTTTCCAAGCAACTTATTTTTTTCTTCAAGATCTGGGTTTGCCAGATGGTATCCCAGAAGTTCAAGGCCCAAACCCATTCATTCATTTTCCAAATATACCAGAGGGTATCTCAGAAGTTCAAGGCCCAACATTGGGACCAACCATGGATAGGAAGTCTTCCCACCCCAGGACACACTCACACTGAGACTGCAGCAAGTTAGACATGACAAAGACTGTCATGTACACCTCTCTGAGATATGGGAGGGGTGCAGAGCACCCGGAAGAAACCCACAGAAATGGGGACAATGTACAGGCCCCACACAGACAGTGACCCCTGGTAGGTCATTGAATGTCTTTCCTCACCAATATTATAAATAAACGACTTGAATAAAATGGCATTATTCAAGGACCTGCCGTGTGTGTGTGTGTGTGTGTGTGTGTGTGTGTGTGTGTATGTGTTTAGTTTACATATCATAGCAAGATTTTCTTTACAATAAAAGAAAGCAAAGTCCAAATTACTTTCTGAGAGCTTTATACCTACAGCAGTTACTATAGTTATATCTACATTCTTTCTATTGAGAAATGGTGAACTAATATAGAACTTACTGCCTTGGGGAACTTTCTAGAACATGGCATGGAGAGATGAAACCTATGCAGAAATCAGGAGTCTAGCTAAGCTAACTAGGCTAGCTGTGACTGTGCAGGAAGATATCTGAGACCAGTACTGTGGAGGCCCATGGAAATTCTGGGGCGCAATAGAAATTGAAATTCTGGGGCAGGTAACCCAGGAGCACCCTGCAGCCCTCTAACTTCCATGCTGTAAAAGGGTCTGGTCATCTGTGCACACAAAGATAAAGGAGACTCTTAGTCTCCTTTAATACAATTTATGCATATAAAGAGAGAAGAGAAGAAAAGATATTAATGTCACAGTAAAACACCCTAGAATTATCCATTCCCTATAGGTAAATGCCTGGCCCAACAGGGTTGGCCCCAAACAGGGCCACTAAACTATAAAATCTTGCCATGAGTCTACCTCCTCAGTAAAGCCAGTTGTACTAAAAAATTTAATGTATGCCCAGTACACTGAGCAGTAAAGATATAAAATTAATGTTTTTGAATGAGTGATAAAGGAGAACAAACTTAGTCCAAAATATATAAATGAAAAGATATCATAAAGAACAGAAATCAGTGAGGTAGATTCCAGGAAAATAATAGAGAAAAATCAACAAAGCAAACACTTTTTAACCCTAAATTCCATAACTACATTCTCTGATACACAAAAGCTGCAGGAAGGTGTGACAAAACACAAATTCTAAAGACAGTCTTCTAAAAGTCTTTTCCAAAAAACTGATACAATGGAATATCCCAAGCAATAGTGTTTGCAGAAGAGCTGAAAAAAGCCAAATTGTCAATCTCAACATTAAAAGGACTATCTCTGCTAATTTTATAGTCATTGCAGAATAATAAGAGACAAGTAGAGAAAACTTTATAAATATGATAATCAAAATAAAATAGATACCTCTTGAAACACAATTTAATGAAACTGACACTATAATAGCCTGAATAGCCCTCAATCTAGTGAAGAAATCAACTACTTTTATTAAAAATGTAATTTATACCAATTACACTGAACAGTGAAGATATGAAATTAATACTTTTGAATGAGTGAATGAATAGCGTGAAGTATGCTTACAGTAAGTGCTAGAAATACAAAGCTGACAAAGAAAATTAGAAGTCTGGTTGGATACTATATTTGTTTCTTTCTGAAAGTCTTCACTCAAAACATTCAAAGTGTTAAACAGTATTAGCTATCATCGTTCCTAAGGTGCTGTGCTGAGGGTAACATAGGTTTTTATTTTGCAAAAGTCCTCTGTGGAAGTGGAAGTCCCTAGGACTGGAAACATCTTAAAATAGATAATGTAATGTGAGTTAATCAACACAAATGGAAAACAGGGTCAGCTCCTAAAAGGGTGATACATGATAGCAAGGGAAGGGGAAAGAGACAATATATGAACATAGGAAAATATCCGAGACAAAGACTTCGTAATTTTTCCAGAGCGACCCATGAATGGGAGTATGATTAAATCTAGTGTCATTAGAATTTTATTGAAACAACCAAAGCCTTTTTCCTTCAACCTTCACAACTACTGTATTATGCAATGACAGTTTCTTAAAATGAAAAAAGATCAATCCCGCAAATTTTTGAAAAAATCAATTATCCAATGGGAAAGAGATGGATCACCATTGATTACATCCTGCCTGTGTTAGAGATGATAAATGGCGGCAGCCGTGGCACTGATCTGTGGGAAAGGCTTCCACTCGTCTTGCATGGATTATGGGTGACCCACTCAGACGACGCATGCATACCGCACAAGCTCCAATTTTATATTCTATCGGGCTTTTAGACTATTCTTTTGCGCATATTACTTTGACTGTGTCTCTAAATGCAAACATTGTTCCTTACCTTCAAAATTTGTTCAGATAGAATTCCTATAAAGAATTTATAGGACAGACAAGTGCAGGAAGAGAATGTGAGAGACCTGTCATATAAATGAGCTTTTGACAGTCACTGTAGTTTGTTCCTGAGTGAAGCACCTGAGCTCATCTTGTACCTCATACAAATACTTCACATTTTTCAAATAAACAGGGAACATGTGAAATATTATACGTTTATTCCAACCTGCACCATTCAGGATGATAAATATTTCCTGCTCAGGTTCAATTTATATACTCTATAAAATACTATATATATATTTTTTTTTATAGAGGCATGTTTATTTATTTGTTTGTTTGTTTGTTTTGTTTATACAAGCACTGGGTACAGTCAGAAGCGCAGGAGGGTGAGAGAATTCACGAGAGCCAGAGCAGGGAGCAGAGCAGGCAGAAGGACCAAAGCACACTGCTGAGGGGAGCAGCGGGCGGCAGGAGAGGTCTGCGCGCCATGTGAGACCCTCCTCCGGTGGCCGGGGAGCAGCCGGGGATCGAACCAGCGCCGCAGAGGCAGCTTCGCAACCCAGTGCTCAACCGCTGCGCCACCGGGGAGGCCCTGAATTTTTTTTTTTAATCAATAGGGACTTGTTAGTTAAGTGGAATGCATTGTGACATCAAGAAGACCATTTTTATTTAAATTTATTTAAATTACATATTCTTTCTGGAAAGGTATCTCAACTTCAGCCTCATCTGTTGTTTGTAAAATCACCTGAACTCACTGGTAACAAGAGGAATTTCAGATTCTACGATGAATCTACCATTCCTTTGATTGTGTACTGAAGGCAGCAGTTAAGGTGCACTGCAGCCTGCTTTCCTCACTGATTCACTGTCTGATGAGCAATCTGCCAAAGGCCATTTCAGGGATGCTTATTGGAACCATATTAACCATGTAATGTCAATTAAACTGGACAAAGACCAACTTATTGTTATCATCATGATATTTGTAGTGCTCATCATAGAGAACAAGCAGGAAAAAGCTGTTGGTGAGTGAACTCTTGGTGAGCAACAGAAGAAGGAGTTGTGTGTTTATCTCTGTTGCACATTAACCTAAGCAAAATTGATTGTTCAGCCAACATCAGTTTATTTTTGTATTTATTTTTTGTATTTATTTTGTATTTATTTTGTTGCTAAAATGCAGTGTTACAGGGGGACAGTACATTATAAAGAGAAGAACTGTCATTGCAAATTTCAGAGTGTAGTAGCATTTATTAGCAAACAGGGTAGTCCGTCAAACTGGCTTGCGTTTTGGCATAGACCTAGGTACTTGGAGCTGTAGCTTAAATGAAAGGTCATTACTAAGACAGAACACTAGCCATTAAGAACAAGTAATAACCCACTCAGGTGTGTGTTATTGTATATTTGATATACCATATATACTTTGATGGTAACATATTTGATACTCAATTATTTTAATGTAAAATATCAGGTAAGTATTTGAAGTGCAAAAAACAAAACCACATAAGACAAGCAGGCCAAAATGGAGTTGCTCATGCCAAGCCCCACCAATGTTAGTACACAGACTAAGGGGTACTCTGGGGTTCCCACATCTGCACATTAATGGGGTTCTGCCATCAACTGCACAAAGACAAAGCGTAAAAGACCTTTAAAAGGATTGGTGTGCTTACAAAGAGAAGAAAGGATAATATTACCCAAGGTTACCCACCCTCTATTGGGTAAGTATCTAGACAAACAGGGTTAGCTCAAAGATGAGCCACTGAAACCTGAAAATTTGTCACAAGTGTAAGTCACCTAAGGAAGGGTACACAAGGGACCAGGTAATTCTGGGATAAATGAAGGAAAACCAAAGTACAAATCAAGATTATACTAAGCATAATACCTTCTAGCTCCATCTATGTTGCTGCGAATGGCATGAGTTATCACTTATCGCAGGAATATAGGGGAACCAAGTAAGACATCAGTGTAAAAAAATAGTAACAATACAACACACAACAAAACAAAATAAAAATAGACAATTATAAACCAGAGACATCCTGCAGGGAAGCAGGAGGGAGAGGGATCAGAGAGAGGGAGGGAGGAGCACAGGGGATGGAGGTGATGGTGCACGGGTGCCTTGGGGAAGGAAACTCTAAGGGGACTACACCTGAGCTGCGGGGGATTGTTTAAAAATGAACAATGATATAAAAAATAGGGCTTCCCCGGTGGCGCAGCGGTTGAGCGCTGGGTTGCGAAGCTGCCCGCGGCCTCTGTGGCCCCGGTTCGATCCCCGGCTGATCCCCGGCCACTGGAGGAGGGTCCCACATGGCGCGCAGACCTCTCCTGCCGCCCGCTGCTCCCCTCAGCAGTGTACTTCGGTCCTTCTGCCTGCTCTGCTCCCTGCTCTGGCTCTGGTGAATTCTCTCACCCTCCCGCGCTTCTGACTGTCCCCAGTGCTTGTATAAACAATAATCTTTGAAAAAAAAAATATAAAGTGACGATTTGCACCCATGAAGCCGCCTGATCCACTTTCTTCCAAAAAAAGTTTGAATTTACTAGAGAAGAAGCTTGCGCAGGGAAGGACTTCCTCCTGCCCATGGTGACCTAATCATGTGGAGGGTTTATCTCCTCATTTTTAATTTATACATACAAGAACTGAGATACAGGCCAGAGGTGTGGGGGATGAGAGGATTCACCAGAGACAGAGTGGGGAACAGAACAGGCAGATTGACTGAAATAAACTCTGAGGGGAGCAGCGGGGAGACAGGAGGGGTCTGCCGTGCCCTGTGGGCAGCTCCCTGGCCAGGACCGAACTCACGCAGCAGAGGCCGAACTCACGCAGCAGAGGCCGCAGACAGCCTCACAGGGCTGCGTCTGACCCTTGCTCCCCAGGGAGGCCCTGTGGCCTCCTTCCTGAACATCCTCTCTGGAGGGTAGCGGCTGGGTGCCCCGGGTTAGATCCTCATCACCTGCCCCCAGGGCACACAGTGGGGTGGAGTGACCGGCTCTCCTTCCTTCAGGGCCGCCATTCAGACCCGGTTGGGGGCGGGGTGATCTCCTACCAGCCAGGCCGGAGCAGGGAAGGGGCGATGGCCCTGGACTATGTCACCCCGCGGTCCCCAAACCCTGAGGAGCGTCCCTGAGATGAACACGCGGGTGGGGAGCAGGACAGGCCCGGTGCACCCACCCCAGGTGCACCCACTCAGCACGACGCGCTAGGAGACCCGTCCAAGGAGGCGGGTCACGGAGGGTCACGCTCAGGAATGAGCCCCGACCCCCAGGGTCCTCCTGGCCCGGGAAGATGCCAGCCAAGCCCCCAGGTTCCCACCTAACAGGCAGATGACAGAGCCGAGACACCAGCAGGGGACGGGGCAAAAGAGGTGCCAAGATGGGAGGAGGAGCACCAGGGCCTGGGGTGACGGGTCACAGGGGTGGTGGGGACAGGAGATTTGCAAGAATTATACAGAAGGGGAGCAATCCAATATTGCACAAAGATGAACAACAATTTAATAAAAATTTTTTTAAAAAGCAAGAATCCTTTCCTTTAAAAAAAATTCAGGGGCCTCTGGTGGCGCAGGGGTGAAGTCTCAGCACTATGAAGCTGTTCTTAGTACTGCAGACATGAGTTCGATCCCTGGACAGGGAGGTGACCCACATGGCACAGTAGACCTCTCCTCTCTCCCCACTGGCCCCCTCAGCAGTGGATTTCAGTAGATCCGCCAGTTGTGCTCCCCACTCTCTCTGCGGAGAATCCTCTCACCCCCTCATACCTCTGGGTTGCACCCCAGCTCTTGTATGCAGAATTAATCTTCCAAAAAATTCCCTTATTTTGTAGAACTGGGGTGTAGGCCAGAGGTTCGGGGGTGAGATGATTCACCAGATACTGAGTGTGGAGACAAACAGGCAGAACCACTGAAATACCTGGCTAACGGGAGCAGCGGGTGACACAGGAGAGGCCTGCTGCGGCCATATGTGGGGCGGCTCCGTAGCCGGGGTTAACCACGGCCAGAGCAGGCAATAGCTCTGAGACTTAACCCTGAGGCTACCAGGGAGGCCCCCAAAAAGCTTCATCATGAAAGGTAGGTAAAGAAAACTGCAGACCTCAACCTACAGCCAACAGCACACAGTTCAACTTTTCCTTCTAGAGGAGGACATTTTGGAGGTGAGCAATTCCAGCATCGGGGGGCACCACAGAGGCTTAGAGTACTGGACAGAACGTGACGGCTAAGTTAGAAAACCCAGGGAGATCACTTACCCACGCAACATGCAGGGTGCCCTGTAGAGAGACAGCTACCATGGACATGAATGGCATCGCCCAGGAACTAAAGAGGATACTAGAAGCAACAGCAACAGGAACAGCGACATCATCACTGCACGAACTTGGGAGAAGAGTGAACCAGGTAACTCCACGCAATTAGGAGTGAAACTGTACATCAGTTCCCATTGCTCTCAGCTGAATGATGTGGTTTGTGCTCCCAAGTTTGAATATTTTTTAAAAGATTTTTATTTATTCAAGCATACCAGAACCAGGGTACAGGCCAGATGTGTGGGAGGGTGAGAGGATGCACCAGAGACAGAGCGGGGAACAGAACAGGCAGACTGACAAAATACTCTGCTGAAATACACTCAGCGGGCGAGACAGGAGAGGTCTGCCGCACCATGGGGCTGCTCCTGGCCGGCCAGGGAATCAAACTCGCACCACAAAGGCCACGGACAGCTTCACAGAACTGCGCTCAACCACCTGCGCCACCAGGGGAGGCCTGCCTGTCCACTCTTGACATTCATAGCATTTCCATCCTGTGTGGAATCTGTCATGCCTAGTGAGGGCTGACTTCCTGAAAAGTTTTCCCACTCTTCACAATCATAGGGATTTTGGCCAGTGACATCTCTGATGTCTAGTGAGAGTGTGCTTACTGGAAAAAGTTTTCCCACACTCTTGACACTCCTAAGGCTTCTCTCCAGTGTGACTTCTCTGATGGAGACGGAGGGATGATTTCCAATGGAAAGTCTTCCTACACTCTTGACACTCATAAGGCTTCTCTCCAGTGTGAATTCTCTGATGGTCACTGAGGGATGATTTCCAGGAGAAAGTCTTCCTACACTCTTGACATTCATAAGGCTTCTCTCCAGTGTGAATTCTCTGATGCTCACTGAGGTAAGACTTACTGGAAAAAGCTTTCCCACACCCTTCACATTCATAGGGTTTCTCTCCAGTGTGAATTCTCTGATGTCTAATAAGATGTGCCTTAATAGAAAAAGCTTTCCCACACCCTTCACAACCATAGCGTTTCAAACTGGTGTGACCGCTCTGATGTTCAATGAGGGATGATTTCCGGTGGAAAGTCTTCCTGCACCCTTGACATTCATAAGGCTTCTCTCCAGTGTGACTTCTCTGATGGTGACTGAGGGATGTTTTCCAGTGGAAAGTCTTCCTACACTCTTGACATTCATAAGGCTTCTCATCAGTGTGAATTCTCTGATGCTTACTGAGATAAGACTGACTGATAAAAGCTTTCCCACACCCTTCACATTCATAGGGTTTCTCTCCAGTGTGACTTTTCTGGTGGTAACTGAGGGATGATCTCCAGTGGAAAGTCTTCCCACACTCTTGACATTCATAAGGCTTCTCTCCAGTGTGAATTCTCTGATGCTTTCTGAGATAAGACTGACTGATAAAAGCTTTCCCACACCCTCCACATTCATAGCATTTCTCTCCAGTGTGAATTCTCTGATGCTTTCTGAGATAAGACTTACTGGAAAAAGCTTTCCCACACCCTTCACATTCATAGCATTTCTCTCCAGTGTGAGTCCTCTCATGTAGAACAAGAACTGATTTACAGGAGAACACTTTCCTGCACGCCTGACATTCATAGGGTTTCTCCCTTGTATGAGTTCTCTGATGGACACTAAAAGCAGATTTGTGCCTGAAAGTTTTCTTACACACCTGACACGGGTAGTGCTTCACTCCCGTTTGAGATTGTGGATGTACAGTGCGGGCAGTCTTCCATGAGAAAGTTTTCACATAATCGTTAGAGCCAAACAACTTCACTGCAGTGAGATTTCTCTGGTATCCCCTCTGTAAGGAAATCTCAGAGGTGCCCCCACACTCATCAGGTTGATCGTCTGCTTGTGATTTCTGATGTTCAGTCAGAACAGAGGTTTTACAGGCTGCTTCACCATATCTCTTATATCCAAAATTATTCTGTCCTAACTGGGTACTCTCATGTGGATAGGTGTGAAACGTGTTCCTGAGACTGGCCCCACTTTCATAACATTCCTGTTGCTCATGTTCAACATTCCTAGGAGGATGCAAATGCACTGGAGTCATCTCCGCAGCTCTCCCCTTCTCATTACAACTGCAGGGAGTCTGTCCTCCTTGGGTTCTGCCTCGGACATCGAAAGGTGCCTCATCACGGGTGTCCCTGCATTCATTGCATTTACGGGCAGCCTCTTTCGGAAGGGCTCCTCTAGGTGAAAATACTGTTTCTTCACTCAAGACTTTTCCTTGTTCACGAAATTCAAAAGGCTGTTGAAAGTTCTGAATCACCTGGTGACTAAGGTGCTCAGGATACTTGATGGGTTCCCTCATTCTACTAAAGACCTCCTCGTTCTCTCCAGCATGCTCTTCATGAGGCTCACCAGGGATCATCATGGTCCTATGTATAGTAAAGTTCTCAGGCATCATCGCTGAATTGTTTCCATTTTTGATACTATGGTTCACACAATGAATTGAGTCCAAGTTGCTTTTTTCCATTAAGTCAGTTCTCTCCTTGGATGGTATTTTGCTGCTGGTGGTAAGAACTTGCCACACATGTCTGCCCTGATTTGCAGGGCTGTCATGAGTCAGGTGATCCACAGTATGGACATCTAAAGTGAGATAAAAATGACCATGTCTCCAAGAAGTAAGCATTCTGAGTGAATATTACTAAGCAGCACAAAAGCTCCTATATTACAACACAATTTACAGGTATTGATTTTCTGATTCATGCTTTTTGCCCGTAGCAAATTATGGGGAGAGTAGATTTATTGGTATTTTTTATTTTAGCATAGAAGATGTGGGGTGTAGCCCAGAGGAGCAGGAGTGGGGGTGCTGTAGGGGAGCGTGGAGACAGTGTGTGGAACAGAACAGGTGGACTGACTGAAACAGACGGTTGAGAGAAGCAGCGGGTGAGCCAGGAGAGGTCTGCTGTGCCAAAGTGGGTGAGCTCCTTCACTGTAATCAAACTCAGGCCATAATAGTAAGAGCTAAGAGACTTCATCCCTAGGCCTCCAGGGAGGTCCCAATTAACAGATTTTCTAATGCCAAACCAGGATAACAAATCAGTAAAACTAATTTCACCATGGTTTTATAAAACCATAAATATTTGGTAAAAATAGTCTTTTAACTAGAGTTGTCGATTTCAACCAGAAGCATTTCACCCAACATAGATCCTACATACTTCGTTTGTTAGGCTGACCCTGTGCAGCTCTTGCGGGTACTTTCTGAATAACCAAGCCCTACAGAGGCCATGGCTTTCCCGGAAATCTGTGGACGGAGTGACCCAGTTATTGCCCAGGCACTTTAAGCAAGAGGCCTGCTGAAACACAAGGACTATGCTTCTCCATTTCCGTTGTTTTTCTTTTGACCCCGGCCATGGCCACGACACCTGCAGAGGTTCTCAGAGGCATGCGCTTCCCTCCACGGCAGAGACCTGTCAGTTCTTATTTAAATATCATATCGCATAAGGCTCAGAATCCTAATACATGCAGCAAACTCCACCTCATCATTGTGTCCCACGTTCCCTGCTGAGCGATAGGAAAAAAGTTCTGCATCCAGCCTGTGGCTATCAGCGTTACAGGCTTTTCCCACATCCTTCTGAGAGCAACACCCTGGTGTTCTCACCGCACTCCCTGGAACCTGCGTTTCTGCTTTGTTCATAGCAGCTCCAGTTTCTATGTCGTGTGTGACTCTCAGCTACATCACACTGTCGTTGATTCCTTTACTTTCCTCCCAACAATTCCCACGAGAAGGTGGAATTGCACAGGTCACACTGCTCCCCAAGGTATGAGCCCCCAACCTCAAACTCTTGGTGCCATGGCTTTAGAAACCACCACCTCAGGTTCCCCCTCCCATGTCACAGAACATCCCTTCCCACGCTGAACAATTTCTGGGTCCTCCTCAGCCTCACAATTACTATGTGGGTGGTCACAAGGTTTGCCCCTGAAACACTACTCATTTTCTAAATAACTCTCCATTCAACGTCCCTCTATCCCTTTTGAGTTAGTCACCTGCAAAGTGACTCTCCAAAAGCAATACACAGCCTCTAGCCCAGACTGCAGAGGGAACTATAGATATGACATGTCAGTGCAAGCCATTCACCTCACCTGAGCTCTGAAAGAAAAGAATTAATCTCTATAATGATGCGTATGGAGCACACACACAAAAACAACATCCTCCACTTCGTTTCACTCACGCTGGTCAAACATCCTCTGTGGCTTTACCTCTCTATTAATAAATGTATTTATTATATATTCTTTCCTCACAGAGTGTATAACTTCAGAAAGCAAAGATCATTTCTGTGAGTACTGTTGCTCTCCCCTCTCATAGAAAATTTACCACTGGCTAAACTTCCCATGAACATACAGAAAGAATAAAAAAATTCCTCAACAGATACCTAAAGAAAACAGTCTGTGAGAATACACTAAGAGAGAGAACAGAGAAATGTGATTACTGAAGAATAATCCCCACAGTATCAGGGACTGCATACTGGCTTAAGAACATAGACAACCATCATTAAAAGAGCAGGACAAAACTCACAAGAGAGCAATATTTGGGAACTGAATAAAGAATCAGTTTGATATATGCAGACACACTGTCCAAGGTTGGACACTGGAAGAGCACCTGAGTGTGGCCAATATCACTGGCCACACTCCCAGCATCCTCTCAGACTCCCAGCCTGGCAAGCAATGACTGACCTGAGAGGTCCTGGTTTGCGGGATCATCCACAGACCACGGCTGTACTCCCTGCTCCGACCTGATGCTCTCCTCAGGATCGGGAACACAACGCCCTGTGATGAGAAACAGTGTTGGTCTTCGATCAAGTTCAACTTCAGTCTTTGAAAACTAACAAATGCAGTGTGAAGAGCTGTGCAAAAGAGGCCAATCTGAATCTTTCCTAAAAAAACTAAAACCGAAACACCCACAATGTACAATGCCTGGATGTTCAACCTCACCAACACTCAGTTTCGTAAGCAAGTGCACACTTATCGGTGCAGAAGACAGCCTTGCACTAGAGTGTTACACTGGCACTTCCTCACCTAGGGACAGCAGGTGACTGCAGGTCTCCAGCATCACATTGCAGTACAGGGTCCTCTGAGCTTCACTCAGGCACTGCCACTCCTCCCAGGTGAAGTTCACAGCCACGTCGTCAAATGACACCGTCCCCTCTGAGGGAATATTTCTCATCTCAGGGCCGGCAGCCTGGGTCAGACAGAGCAAGTGCAAACACAAATTATTTTGTGGGTCTTTGGTCCTGTATAGGATGTATAGAATTGGCAGTTAATAGAGACTCACCTCTCCATTCACCCATTTGGTCCGAAAAGTAGAACTATAGCTTACCTTATCAATTTGGAAGTGTCTATGATTCTAAGAATAAAAGGATGAATAACTTTTGCTCCTTGAGGAGCTGATAGCCTGGCTGGCAGGTGTAACAGACACAGACCCGTAATCATGTGCTAAAGGAGCTTCATAACAAATGAAAAGCATGTGCAACTTTGTGCCAATACTTTACTCCTGTGACCTAAAGCCTGGTTATCTTCAACTCACAGTAAACAAAAACTGAACCCGAAACCAGAATGTTCAAGCAATGAGGGGGGGAAAAGCACAGGTAAGAGATGTTCAACTACAAGCAAGTATAAACCAGAGACACACTATGGGGGGGTGGAGGGATTAGGGTCAACATAAGGGGGGTGGGATGTATGGGGACTATAACCAAGATGAAAATGCATACATTGCACAGAAATGAAAAATGATGTAAAATATATATAAAATAAAATTTTAAGAAAAGATGTTCAGCTGACAGAGTCAGAGAAGACACAACAGGTCATTACTTCTAAAATGGAAGGACAAAGGGGAGGAGAACTCGGTAATAACTCGGTGGCGGAGGTACGAGGGATGTTTTCCTAATATGCTGTCCGCATGACGGACTGGTGGACACTGGAATTCCACACGCAACTGGACATGTGTGTGATGGATCAGGAACTCTAAGCTGAGAACAGAAATTTGGGAGTCAGGGCCTCCCTGGTGGCACAAGGGTTTAAGTCTCAGCACTATGAAGCTATCGGCAGCTGCTGCAGCACGAATTCGATCCCCAACCAGGGAGCTACCCATGAGGCACAGCAGACCTCTCCTGTCTCCCCGCTGCTCCCCTCAGCTGTGGATTTCAGTCAGTCTGCCTGTTCTGTGCCCCACTCTGTCTCTGGGGAATCCTCTCACCCCCTGCACCTGTGGCCTACACCCAAGCGTTTATATGCATACATAAAATAAATATTAAAGAAAAGAAAGAATTTGGGAATCTCCAGGATATTATTGATAGTTTTCACCACCGTAGGGGAGAACACGGTGACCAGAACAAAAGGTATCGAAAGAGGAGGAAAAACAACTAGAAGAGACAAATACTTCTTTTGGAGAAAGAAAAAAATAGATCATAGCAATGAAAGAGTTTTGAAAAATAAGACACTAGGTATAAGAAAACAAACATCTTAAGAAATCTGTAAATTTATTCCATCATCTCATTTCCTGTGTAGTAAATCCTGTGCACCTCCACATACATATTGAATAGGAACCCATTAAAATAAATTTCTATTTCTATTGGCTAAAAAAAGGATTCAGAGGATTTTTCCTCAACACAAAACGAGTCCTTGACACAGCCACAGGTGACATCTACATTCCCAGTGAGAGAAGGACTAACAAAGATGCTCAGTGTCCCCTTATTCACAGTGGGTTCAGGTGACCCTATACAGCAACAACCAGAACAACAACAAAAACACAACATAAGTAAAAATAGTCATAACCAGTTATAATTCATCGCTGGAAAACCAATGAAAGCCACAGTAAAGCGACTCTGGAAAGGAAAACCCAGTGAGCAGACTGTGAGTATAACACACACCTGTGTTCACACACAGAGGAGCTCCTGTACACTGCCAGGGAAATGACAAAACAGTAAGCAATGCATGTAGCGGAACCAAGGGCAGAGACTGAACTGGAATAAAGAAACCCGGAGGGTTAAACAATGAATTAAACAAATACAAAGGCACAACAGCATCCAGGACACGATGAGCCTGCTGCACTGACAAGCAACTCTCGCAAGGTAACCCGGCCACATCCCAGTTCTAGGAAAACAAAAATCATATTTATAGGCTCACTGGTTAAAACACTTATACAAGAAGTAAAACAACACAGAGTGAAGGTGGACGGCTCATGTCTGTGCACAGAAACTCACAGGACCTCCCAGCAGGAGTGGGCTCAGGATGCCATAAAAGCACCGTATGACGAAATGGGACAATACAATCCCCTCACGCTTTCGACCCTGTTCAAAATGGAAATGCCCAGCCACGAGGAAAGGACTGGAACACACAGCTCTGCAAATCACACACCCAAGCGGGTCCTAACACATGAATGTGCTCAATATGACCAGTCACGAAGGAAAAATGAACGAGAAGTACAAGAGATGAGATTTTACATCCGCTGGGATCGCAATGATTTAAAAAGAAAGAAAAGAACAAGTACTGGCAAAAATTGGGACCTGGCTCCCTTGCACACTGCTGGGGCAAACATAAATGATGCAGCCAGGAGGGAAGACAGGAAGGTGATTCTTGGGAAAAGGGAACTCAGAATGACAGGAGGACACATCCCCACCCCGGGGTGTTCCCCAATAGCAGGGACAGCAGGGACGGGCAGAGACGTCTGCTCACCTACAGTCACGGCACCACCAGTCATTACAGCCCAAAGCAAAATCAACCCAAGCCCCAGGTGATGGATTAATGGATAAATAAGACTGGTAGATACACATAAGAGAATATTAATGGGTCTCACAATGGAACTAGACAATGACACACACTACAATATGAAGGGACTCCTGTAGGAGACCTATGAAATGACAAAACAGTTAACAATGCAATAAAATAAGAGATTCACCAAGAAAACAAGGTGTAACAAGACTCCAGTTATACAGGTGTGAGTTGTCAAACTCTTGAAAACAGAAAGTAAATGGTGGACACAGGGGCTGAGGGACAGGGCAGTTGGGAGCAAGAGTTTCATGAGTGCAGTATTTTATTACTGGGAAATGAAAAAATCTGGAAGGTGGTAACGGCTGAATAACACTGTCAGATACTAATTGGTAAAGAACACCACATGAAAACAGCGAAAGGAGACTTTTTATTTTACATTTAAATGAAGGGTCAGGGGCTTTCCTGGTGGCTGAAAGGTTGAGACACAACCAATGGAGCTGTCCGCAGCCAGAGAGCTACCCACATGACGCAGCAGCGCTCTCCTGACTTGCCCACTGTTCCCCTCAGCGGTGTATTTCAATAGATTCGCGTGTTCTGCTCCCCACTCTGTCTCTGGTGAATCCTCCCTCTGCCCCATTTCTGGCCCATCCCACAGTTTTGTATGCATAAATGAGCTCATCTTTTCAAAAATGAATGAATGAATGAATAGAGGGCCACATTTACTAGGAAAAGGAGAAAAAGAAGCAACAGTCATGCCGGGCAGAAGAGCAGCCACTGCTACTCCCCACAGTGCAAAGGTTTATAAAATGAAACACTTCCATGGTCACAAGTGACAGGAGAGCTGCTAAACTTAGATTGTAAAATATATTCATTCTATCAATATTCTATAAACATTCCATCAAAATTGAAAAAATCTACCACTAACCATAACTTCAGCAAGAATCATATGTATGAGGGCCTTCCTGGTGGCGCAGCGGTTGAGCCTTGGGTTGTGAAGCTGCCCGCAGCCTCTGCAGCGCCGATTTGATCCCTGGCTGCTCTCCGGCCACTGGAGGAGGGTGCCACATGGCGCGCAGACCTCTCCGGCCGACGGCTGCTCCCCTCAGCAGTGTACTTCGGTCCTCTGCCTGCTCTGCTCCCTGCCTCTGGGGAATTCTCTCACCCTCCGCGCTTCTGACTGTACCCAGTGCTTGTATAAACAAACAAACAAACAAACAAATAAATAAAAACAAGCCTCTATTAAAAAAAAAAATCATACATATGACTAACGCACACACACCCACTGTACTCCAGACTCGATGACAGAAATGTGAAGCTCCTTATTAAAAACTACATTTAGGGGGCCTCCCCAGTGGCGCAGTGGTTGAATGCTGGGTTGCGAAGCTGCCCGCGGCCTCTGCGGCGCCGGTTCAATCCCCGGCTGCTCCCCGGCCACCTGAGGAGGGTCCCACATGGCGCGCAGACCTCTCCTGCCGCCCGCTGCTCCCCTCAGCAGTGTACTTCAGTCCTTCTGTCTGCTCTGCTCCCCGCTCTGGCTCTGGTGAATTCTCTCACCCTCCCGCGCTTCTGACTGTACCCAGTGCATGTATAAACAAAATAAACAAACAAATAAAATAAATAAATAAAACACGCCTCTATAAAATAAAAAAAAAAATTAAAAAAAAAAAAAAAAAACTACATTTAGGATCACTGACATAAACTCCCAACAACCAAAGGTCAAATGATGAACATCTGCGCTACCTGATTTTACTCAGCGAGTGTCTGTGTCATGACCCTTGCTCAAACGTTTCCCACTGACCCAAGTACTTTCTCCCCCTGAACTCTGAGCTGTCACCACACTGGCCAGTCGGAGGCAGAAAAGGGAGCAACCTCATCACTGAGAAAACGCATCCATCATGTTTGCCCAAGAATGAGAACTGTATTGTGAAAGAAAGTGAACACACACACACACACGAATGCACGTATGCACGCTCACACGCACACGGCAGTGCTGTTGTTAGCAACCATTAAGGTATCAGATAATATTGAAGAATAACTTGCTTTGGGTGAGACTAAACTCTGGAACAGAGAAATCCCTTTTTGGTGGCCGGAGACCTGGGCTGAGAAGGATCTAATTCCACACGGGAGGGCACAACGCAGGACGAGGTTTGCACATTGCATGAGCGGCAGGTGCCATCGGGACGGCTACAGGCGCAGTCAGGTGGGAGCTGAGCCTGTGGTAGTAGGACTGGGCAGAGGCCCACGCTCAAGTGTAACTGGCAGAAATGGCAAAACACAGTTGACTGACTCACTTAGGAGAAGTGCAGAATGAAGACGGGAGACCAGATCGGAACACAGGGATTAGCTACATTCAGGAGCACAAGATACTCAAGCACTCAGGGACTCAGAAAAGAAATCATCAGAGAGACCATGACAGAAGCAAACACAAAGAAATTTCATCTTCCAAAACACTGAAGACGGAGGAAAACTCACCAACACATACGACGAGGTCAACATTGCCCTGATCCCCCGCAAAAAAAAACAGCATAAAAGGGAAAAATAGACCAACAGCACCAAAGAACAGAGAAGCAAAAATCCTCAACAAATTCCACCCGACTTAATACAGCAACATGGGGCCTCCTGGGTGAAGCAAGGAGTCAAGACAAGGCACTATGAAGCTACTATCCACAGCCCCTGCAGCATGACTTCGATCCCCAGTTGGGGAACTGACCAACACGGCACACCTGACCTCTCCGGTCTCCCTGCTGCTCCCCTTAGTAGTGTATTTCACCAGATCTGCCTGGTCTGTTCCCCACTCTGTCTCTGGTGAATCCTCTCACCCACCACATGTCTGACCTGTACCCCAGCTCTTATATGGATAAATAAATCAATCTATAAAATTCCAAACGGATTAAATATTTGGTGATGTACTTGACAGAAAATATAGGGACACAGTACAGTACAGTTGCCACAACGTGCACTAGGGAACACAACCCCAACACCCAGAGAAACAAAAGCAAAAATCAACAAGCGGGACACCACCAAACCTAAAAGCTTTCATACTCAAAAGAAAGCAGCCCAAAAACTGAAAGGCAGTCTACAGAACAGAAAGAGAATCTGCATGCCACACATGCGACAAGGGATTCATTCCAAAATTTATAACATCCCCAAACAATGCAAGAAACGAACTGATGAGTCAATTAAAAATGGACAAAGGGGGGCCTCCCTGGTGACACAAGGGGTTGGGACACAATCTATTAAGCCTCTGCAGCGTGAGTTCGATCCCTGCCCGCAGGGACAACCCGCATGGCGCAACAGACCTCTCCTGAATCGCCTGCTGCTCCCCTCAGCAGTGTGTTTCAGTCAGTCTGCCTATTCTGTTACCTGCTCTGTCTCTGGTGAATCCTCTCACCCTCTGCATCTCTCGTCTGTACCCCAGTTCTTGTATGAATAAATGAATAAATCCTAATAAAAAAATGGACAAAGGAACTACAAAAAATCTTCTCTAGAGAGGGAATTCTGACATCCTACAGACAACAGGAATGTTCACCGTAACTTATTTTAAGAGAAATGTAAATTGAAAGCACACTTAGATGCCACCTCTCTCCTTGAGAAGGCCCAAATAAAAACGAATGGATTTACACAAAACGGGGGGTGGGGGGTGAAAGTTTTATGGGGAGTATAATAAAAATGAAAATAATTACACTGTGCAAAAATGAAAATGATGTAAAAATATGTAAGATAGTATTTAAAAAAGTGAAAGACTGAAAAAAAAAAAAAACATATGCAATGAAGAACGCTGGAGAGGGCGCAGAGAAAAGGGAGCTCTCACCTGCGGCTGGTGGCCATGACAGTCGGAACAGACCCTGTGGATGAGGGTGCGGAGGTTTCTTAAGGAAATAAAAACGGAAATTCCATGTCATCTGCAATACTTCCACACATTATCCTCACGGGAAAACTCAAACACAAAAAGATTTATCCCACCCGGGAGCAGAGCAGCTCTGTTCCCAACTGCCCAGTCATGGCCCAACCTACATCCCTTCGGCAGAGGCGGGGCAGGAAGGGTGGAGCACACGCAGGGGAGCACTGCAGGGCTGTGAGGAAGGAGCAAAGGGTCACACTGAGGAGAAAATGGGTGGGTAAAGAGGCGATAGTCTTTTTTTTTTTTAAATATGTATTTATTTATACAAGCACTGGGTACAGTGAGAAGCACGGGAGGGTGAGACAATTCACCAGAGCGAGAGCGGGGAGCAGAGCAGGCAGAAGGACCGAAGTACACTGCTGAGGGGAGCAGCGGGCGGCAGGAGAGGTCTGCGCGCCATGTGGGACCCTCCTCCGGTGGCCGGGGAGCAGCCGGGGATCAAACTGGCGCTATAGAGAATGCAGGCAGCTTCGCAACCTAGCGCTCAACCGCTGCGCAACCAGGGAGACCCAAAAGTCTGTTATTTTAAAAAAAAAAAGATTTATTTATTCAAGCATACAGGAGCTGGGGTACAGGACAGAGGTGTGGGGGAGGGGAGTGAGAGGATTTAGCAGACAAACAGGGAACAGAATAGGCAGACTGACGGATATACACTGCCGAGGGACGCAGCAGGCCAGTCAGGTCTGCTGCACCATGTGGGTTGCACCCTGGCTGCCCGGTGAATGGAACCTGTGCTGCAGAGACTGCAGACAGCCCCATCGGTTGCATCTCAACCCCTTGTGCCACCAGGGAGGCCCCGGGAGGTGCTATTCTTCAGTGAAAGTAAAGACACATATCAGATGGCTTCACTCATCTGTGGAAAATAAATACCCAAAAAACATTTACAGGCAAAATACTTGAATAAAACTTAAACAGGGTCATGTGAAGGTAAAGATGACCACCAGAGGGAACAGGGGAAAGGGTGGAGAAGTTAGGGAGGGAGGTAGACGGGGGATGGGCCAGGGTGGTTGGGTAGAGGGGGAAACAAGGGGTAGGGCAAGACCCATTAGGAGTCTAGGAAAAAACTGGCAACTATTTAAGCAGAAGGTTTTTAGTGCTACACATGTCAATGACAGATCGAGGAGGGAAAATAAGTAAAAGAAAGAGAAAAAAGTATAAGAAGCTTTAAAACAGGACCTCCCCAGTGGCGCAGCGATTAAGCGATGGGTTCCGAAGATGCCCGCAGCCTCTGCAGCGCCGGTTCGATCCCAGGCTGCTCCCCGGCCACCGGAGGAGGGTCCCACATGGCGCGCAGACCTCTTCAGCCGCCCGCTGCTCCCCTCAGCAGTGTACTTCGGTCCTTCTGCCTGCTCTGCTCCCCGCTCTGGCTCTGGTGAATTCTCTTACCCTCCCATGCTTCTGACTGTACCCAATGCATGTATAAACAAAACAAACGAACAAACAAATAAATAAAACAAGCTTCAAAACAATTATAAAAAATGGAATTTCCCCAAGGTCACACACAGTGTTCTCAAACATGGCAGGAACTTTGGGGAAGGCAAAGGCTGGAGAGTGTCACTGGACTGGGGAACAACTTAGGGTGCTGGGAAGCGTCACTAGAAATGCATGCAGACCACACCAAGGAGAAATGCCCAGGAGCAGTGCAAACAACCGCCAGAAAAAAGGACTCTGAAGAGTTTACCGGGCACCTGGGGTTTGCAGAACCCCTGAGAGAAGAGCAGGGGCAGGGATGTAAGGACGCCCCACTGGACTCAATGTCACACGTGCCAAGACTGACGCCTGCATGAAAGTCTCCGAGAGCGGCCTGGGACACAGGATAGGATTTCAGCAACTGCACAGAAACCTTAAAAATTCAGTTGTCCTTTTCAAATGACTCGTGGCTCCTTCACCCCCATCTGCACTTGGGTCCTCAGGCCCATCCTCTTCCTCCTTCCTCACCCCGCACCTGAGCAGCGCAGAGCTGGGAAGTGTTCCTGTCCAGCGGGGTGAAGAGCCACAGGCCACACCTTCAGCGTCATCAACGGAGATCCAGGTACAGACTCTGCGCTGCGGGAGCACCAGGGCAGAGCCCCATCTTCACGCACGCTGGACATGGGAAGGGCCTGGACCTACGCCACACCTTTCCCTGAGGAGGAATGTGTCCCTGCAGAAAACTCTGTTTCTAATGTGCATGTCCGTGATGAACTCGCATAAAGTCAATGCACCGCGAGCTGAAGCCAACACGCCACTCACCAGAGATTCGTCCATGGTCGCTGCTCTCACAGACGCGCCAGGGCTCGGGAGCGGCGCTGGGGGGCGCTGGGGTCCAGCACAGAGGACGGAGGCGGCTGCCGGGGTCCTGGAGTCTCCTGGCCAGAGCCCGCCACACGCTGCCTGGAGACACCAGAGAGTCACCGCGTGTGGCAGCGGGTGGCACTTCTAGCAGGGCAGGAACGGCCCCGAGTCCACGCGCGGCAGTGCCTGGGCGGACGGTTCACCACAACTTAGTAAAAGGTGACACTGCCCACTGCCTGCGCCACGGTCACGCAGGAGCAACCGTCTCAGAGCTGAGGAGTCGCTGCAGAGTGTGGACTCCACTTCCAGCGAGACGACGCCCCGAACGCACTGTTCTGCCAGGACACCCCGGCAGAAGGGTGGCTCCGCGCCCTTCCCGCCCTCCGCTCCGTGGACACCAGACAGCGCCGCGTCCCCTGGGTGCGCACGTGCAGGCGGGAGGCGGGAATGCAGCGGCCAGCAGGACGCCGCCTGGGGGGGAACGCGCAGCGCGCCCGGAAATTCAGTCCACAAGCCTCTAACGCCCCACGAACTCCCAACCACCCCGCCCTGCAAACCCAGTTTCCCGGAACCTCCCCGCACCCACAGGGCCGCCTCCCGCTGGCAACCCCCGCGACGTCACCCGCCCCCACTGAGTCCATGAATCCCGCCCCGGCGCATTAACCCCCAGAAACGCCGTCTGGCTCTCCCCTCCCTCACCGCCCGACTTCTGGGGGCCCAGAGGAGACGGTGCGCTTCCCTGACCCCCGCCCCGGGAAGACCCCGGCAGCGTCCGGGGACACCCCGGAAAGGCCGGGACGTTCTCCCCAACGGTCTCCACCCCCGACCCCGCCCGCTCCGGCGGGAATCGGCTCCAAAGTGCCCGACTCCACGCGGCCGGGGCCCCCGCTCGCCCGCGCCCCCAAACCCCCGGCGCCTCCGCTCCCCGAGCCCGGCTTCCCGGGACAAACCCCGCGCTCAGCTCGGGGCGCCGCAGCGCTCCGGAGACGCGGGAACTTCCGGACGGGCGGGGGCGGGGCCGCGCCTGCGCAGATCGCGGAAGACCCGCCCAGAAACCTCCGCGGGAATCACGGGGCTCGAGACTACATTTCCCACAACCCCTTGCGCGGCCCGTCGGTCCGTCGTCGGGGCGGGGTTGCAGCCTGGAAGTGGGAGGAGTGGAGGTTGAGGAGAACGGGCGGGTGGGCGAGGCCCGTGAAAACTGCGGGGCCCATAAAGGGTTCAGGGCTCTGAGGGAAGAGAGCTCAACAGGGCCGCCCGGGGGCTGAAGGGGTTAAGCACCGCGCTGACTCAGAAGCTGTCCGCCCCTCCACAGCAGGGAGCGACCCACAGGGCTGGGCTGACCTCTCCTGTCCTGCCTGCTGCTCCCCTCAGCAGTGTATTCCTCTCTGTCTGCCTGTTCTGCGCCCCACTCTGTCTCTGGTGAATCCTCCCCCTCTCTCTCTCTCACACACACACACACACCCCTTTGGCCTGCACCCCAGCTCTTCTATGAATTAATTTAAAAAACATACATAAGAAGTTCACATATAGTCTAAATAAGACACTCAGATACCAAGACACATTTCATCAAAATCAAGATTCAGGTATTTAAGAAGCATCTTGACCTTCTGATATCTGGATCACAGAGTCGGTGTTCAACAGAAAGATGCTGTGCTTAGCTAATGTGAATGCACAAGAATTCCACGCTGTTATGAAAAGCTCACCTGCTCTTTCATCACATGCTTGTGAAGATTTCTTTTGGCAACAACGTCCAATAATATTCATGGCTCCATTATTACCATGAAGACACATGAGGATATTAATAAACCGTTAGTGTATTCCCTGAAGGAGAAAATGATGAAATGAGTTGAACTTCAGCATTTTTCTGTGTCTAATTTTTATGCCCACAACAAAGTCCACGACTCCTCTGGGTGATTGAGATCAATCTATTCAGTCAGCCACAAACAGCATCTCCATTTAGATTTTCTTCATCCATGATACATGCCACCATCATAAATGTACCAAAGCAATTAAGATGTAAAGAAACTCATCAACTGGAGAGGGTCCCTTAGATGTTTGACGCACGAAAGTCAAATACATGACTCCAAGTACATACCAGAAGAAAGCCATAGAGTGAAGTGATTTAGGGCTGAATTATATTCATCAGGTCTCTTCACAATATCTCAAGTATGGTTGATAAAAAAAAGGACAAAGAAAATAACTATATAGGGCCCCAAACCTTCGTCTTGAACTCTTATTTATTTTTTTAAAGATTGATTTTATTCATTTATGCATACAAGAACAGAGGGGTAGGCCAGAAGTGTAGGGGGTGAGAGGATTCCCCAAAGACAGAGTGCAGAGCAGAACAAGCAGATTGACTGAAACACACTGCTGAGGGGAGCAGCAGATAAGTCACCAGAGGTCTGCTGTTTCATGTGGTCAGCTCCCTGGCCAGGGACCAAATCGTGCTGCAGTGGCTGCTGACAGCTTCACAGTGCTGTGACTTAACCCTCTGCACCACCAGGAAGGCCCTCAGACTTTTCAATTATGCTAATATTTAGTGTTTTCATGTTGGCTTATGCTCCATAACAATTTTCTGACTTAAGGAATGTAAAGTGTTTCTCACTTCCTACTGTATTGAAATATCTTAATATGAATCTAAATTGCATTATAAAGTATTTAATCATATTTTCACTTCTTTCAAGTTTCCAGTATGAAAATCTGGTGGTTTCAAAATTCATATTTGGACAAACCACTCATCACTTTTCATTCACAGTTTCTCTTGGTTTGTGCTCTCTGATGTTTATGATGATCTGACTTCTGGTTAATCACTTTGGTTAAAATTCTGGACTTCTGGTTAAAGACAACAAAGTTGGGACCTCACTGGTGGCACAAGGGGTTAAGACACAACCTATGAAGCTATATGCAGCCACTGCAGTACAAGCTGGATTCCCGGTGAGGGAGCTACCCACATGGTGCAGCAGACCCCTCCTGTCTCGCCTGCTGCTCCCCTCAGCAGTGTATTTCAGTCAATCCGCCTGTTCTGCTCCCCACTCTGCCTCTGATGAATCCTCTCACACACTCCCACCTCTGGAAGATACCCCAGTTCTTGCATGCATAATAAAATAAATCTTGAAAAAAAGAGACTAAAGTGAAAAAATTGACTTCACAATTTAACATTTCTCTCTGATGTGAATTCTCTAATGTAGAGTAACACTTAAGACTTGTGGTGAAAGGCTTTGCCACATTCTTCACATTTGTAAAGTTTCTTCCCAGTATGAATTCTGTGATGTTGACTTCAAAGTGATGGATGGTAGAAGGCTTTGCCTACATTCTTCACATCTCGAAGGTTTCTCCCCAGTATGAATTCTATGATGCCGACTAAGACATGACTTATTATTAAAGGCTTTGCCACAATCTTCACAATTGTAAGGTTTCTCCTCAGTATGAATTCTGTGATGCTGACTAAGATAGTTAAAGGCTGACAGTTGGTTAAAGACTTTCCCACATTCCTCACATCTGTAAGGTTTCTCCCCAGTATGAACTCTCTGATGTCAGGAAAGGTGACACAGCACAGGAAGGTGTTACCACTGTCAGGACACGTGTAGGCTTTTCTCCAGTATGAATCCTTAGATGGTTAGTCAGCTGTGGATGCCAATACAAGGCTTTACCATGCTCGTCACTCTTGTGAGGTTTCTCTCTCTGATGTTCAGTAAGTCTTGGGCACCATTTGGTAGCTTTGCCATATCCTTTACAATTGTAGAGTTTCTCATGAAGTGCATGATGCTGGAAAAGTATTGAGGACTCCTCAATAGGATCCTGTGTAGATTTTTTTCATCTTCCTTTCTAATTCTCTGATGTTGACAGTGACATCACTGAAAGTTTAAATCTATCCCAGACTGACAATGTTTTGAATAATCATTTGTATTATGGACTAGGGGACTTCCCATATGTTCCAACATTCTTCTCAGAGATTGTGTCCTGTTAAAAATGTCACATGGATCTTTGCTAACAGAAACATATTTATCTCTACCTGCAACAGACATAAAATGGAGTTTGACCCAACATGGTTTACACGCAGCATCACTTTGTACAGGAGGAAGTGTGTTATGGATAATTGTCCCTTCTTGGGAATCTTCATTGCAAAAACTGTTGTGCCCTCCTCATGCCTCTTGACATGTCTGGTCTATCAATAATTGTAAATTCTCAAAGGTACCGATTCCATCTCCTACCGGTCCTACATTTAACAACAAATCTTCTGTGCCTAACCGTGGCATGGAGACCTGAATGTTTTGAGAAGACAGGGCAGGAAGACAACGAGGAATAAGTACCCCACTCACAGCACTCAAGACAAAATATTTCAAATATTTAAGACATAAAATTAATACCATATAAAGACCCCCGACATGATGTTTGGATAGGTAACATCAGCACTAGACAGCAACACACAGGCTTATGCATAGGTGGCCATGAGAGTTGGACAGTCCCTGTGGAAAACGGTGCACCCCTGCACCTCTGGCCTGTACCCACCTCTTACACGCACACATAAATAAAAATGAATCTTTTAAATAAATCGAGCTTGAAGGGGAGTTCGGTATTTGGGGGAAATACACTCACTGGGCAGCAGGCTGAGCCACACAGCAGGGCTGCAGCGGACAGGCCCGGCACAGGAAGGTGAGGGGCCAACGGCCTCCCCTCGTCACCAGGGGAGTATCATGGAGGACGAAAAAGACAGGGGTTGCTGACAGGTCAATTTCCATCTGGTCATGACCAAGAGGCTGAGCTGACCCAGCACGGGCATTAATCGGATGCAGGGCTGTGAGCCTGTGTGGCCCCTGGGAAGGACACTCGCGGCTCTACAGGAGCCTCTGTGACAGGAGGATTACACTTACTGGGCGCTCCTGGGAGTCAGACGGAGGGGCTCCGACAGGCGGCGGGAGGGTGCCCTTTTGTGAGACTCATTTCCACGAGTAAGGGAACATCCCCATGAGGAGTCATCCAGGTTCTCACGTTGGAAGGACTTGTCCAAATGTCTCCGTCCCTTATCAGAGGGGGAGGCGGCCCCTTAGGACCGCACCACTCCCACCCTTGTCGCTGGGCTCCCCACTGCTCCCCAGGGCTGATCCCCATCCTCTGTCCTTTCTCTGGGGTTGAAGATGT